TTTGTTTTTTAGTTCAATAATAATGCATTGTGAAGAAAAGGGTGACACACATTTAAAAAAATCAAAAGGAATTTGTGACATTTGGTGTGAACAATATACTTTTAACAAAATGCTGGTGGTATTTTGACAAAAAACCAACAAACAAAAAAGAATTTGATTAAAACAGATTTCTTTCATATTCTACTGATTAATAAATGAAGCCTTCCCTTGACTGGGAAGGGCCATTTTGAATGGTTGCTACTGTAACTAAGACCTGAAGCATCGCTCATGGCCCTGTGTGCTGAACAGAAACTGACCTCACCATCTCTCTTCATCAGACGTGATGAACAAAAGGCGATCAGTACGCACAACTCCAGTGGAGACAAAAACGGAATGGGAGCTTCATTCGCAGTCCCAAAGGGTTCCCTTTACAGATGTTGACCAGTCTTGGTTTTCTGGCAACTAGGTCTTACCAGAGCTATAGGTTCTATAGGTTTGAGATATCTCTTCTTGAAAAACAATTTCTATTTTAAAATGCTTTTTAAAAATCAAAATTTCTTTTTTTATATTTTCTATTTAAAAAGTCAATGTATAACATGGATGCAGAAACACCTGCATTTTATTTCCGTGTTAAATGCTGCTTAAAGAAACGGATTATAATTAAAAATGTCTGAACCTTTACTGGTTGTTGATTTTCTTTATTTGGACCCCGCTGATTTTTAATTGGTAACCCCTGATGTAGTCGGACGAACATGAGGTGGAGTCTTATACACAAACAGTTAGTGCATACCTTAAGGTTTGTCACAAATCTTAAGGTATGCACTAACTGTTTGCCAAGAATCATTAAGGAAGATTGCTGTTTTGTGTCTAAAAAGTTTTTAATTAATCTGAATTTTTTTTATACCATTTTTGGATTTTATGCATTTATGTAAACTTGTTGTATGGATCCCACTCAATGGTTAATAAACCAATATTAATTCCTGATCACTTAGAAAAAAACATAAATGTGCTCATTTTTCAACATGGTGAGATGTTTCTACATTTTTTTTAACAGTGCTTCGGTATTTCAATTATTGACACTCACACCTTGTAGGGATGAGTCAAGACTTTCATTTCTAACCCTGTTGCTTTGTAGCCATGGCAACATTAACAGTTCCTAAAGTTGCTGAACTCTATAACTTTTAGTTTCATTTGTTTTGTGATTTAGACGCACAGAGGGTACATGGCCCAAAAAACTATTAAGGAAATGCAGGAAAACGAATGTGAAAAGCGACCAGTGTTTCCATAATCTTCCTGTAACCTTCAGCTTTAACATAACCAAACACAACAGACTGAAAGACAGATCTGTGGTCTTACTCACGTTGTTCCAACAGAGCTGCAT